GTCTCAGGTGAGTGAGGGTCCCAGGGGGGTCCCAGGGGGGTCTCAGACAGGTCCCAGGGGGTCCCAGGGGGGTCTCAGGTGAGTGAGGGTCCCAGGGTCGTCCCACAGGTCCCAGGGGTCTCAGACACGTCCCAGGGGATCCCAGGGGGGTCTCAGGTGAGTGAGGGTCCCAGGGTCGTCCCACAGGTCCCAGGGGTCTCAGACACGTCCCAGGGGATCCCAGGGGGGGTTCCACAGGTGAGTGGGGGTCTCAGCCAGGTCCCCGGGGGTCCCCAGGTGTCTCAGGCCCGGTGCCGGGGGGTCCCCTCACCGATGGTGGCGCGGATGAGCGAGGAGGCGTCGCCCAGGTGGTTCAGACACTCCTGCTTGATGAACTCGGCCACGGGCGGCGGAAAGCTCTGGAAATGCGCCTTGACGTTGTTCTTGAGGATCAGCCCGCTCAGGGAGCGCGTGGGCTCGTCTGGGGGGGACAGCGGCGCCTTGGGGGGGCTGCACGGACCCCCCCCGATGGCTCCGGTGGTCACTGAGAGACCCCGACAGCCCCGAGAGCCTCGGAACGGCCCCAAAACGATCCCAGAATGGCCCAAAACGGCCCCAAAATGATCCCAGAATGGCCCAAAACGGCCCCAAAATGATCCCAGAATGGCCCCAAAATGACCTGGAATGGCCCAAAATGGCCACAAAATGAACTGGAACTGCCCCAAAATGACCTGGAATGGCCCAAAATGGCCACAAAATGAACTGGAACTGCCCCAAAATGACCTGGAATGGCCCAAAATGGCCACAAAATGGCCCTGGAATGGCCCAAAATAGCCCCAAAATGATCCCAGAAAGGCCCAAAATGGCCCCAAAATGATCCCAGAAAGGCCCAAAACGGCCCCAAAATGACCCCGGAATGGCCCAAAACGGCCCCAAAATGGCCCTGGAATGGCCCAAAATGGCCCCAAAATGAACTGGAACTGCCCCAAAATGACCTGGAATGGCCCAAAACGGCCCCAAAATGGCCCTGGAATGGCCC